CTGGGTGCCTCAGTCAGTTAAGCGTCTGCCTTTGACTCAGGCCATGATCTTGGCATCCTGGGATCAAGCCCTGTTTCCGGCTCTCTGCTCAGCAGGGAGCCTGCTTCTTCCTCTCTTTGCCTACTCCCACCCCTCATGCTCTCTCTCTCTTTCAAATAAATAAAATCTTTTAAAAATGAATGAATGAATTAATTAATTAATAAAACATATATGGAGAATTCAAATTAAAACCAAGATGTTCTTTGAAATCTCCAGTATATCTGAATGTATCCTAGGTTTCAAACCATGCAGAACAGTTTGCATTTCTGGGCATATTTAATGTTCTTCCTCTTTTAAAATAAAAGACAAGTTTTAAAGAAAGACATGAAGAAAAGAGTGTTCATTAAATAAAGATATATAATACTTCTAGGCTTTTTCAGTGGACAGACAGCATGTAAGTCTGTTTTTACAGGAGAAAAAAGTCATTACCATACTAACATTTCCAAACTAAACAAAAATTAGCTTCCTCAATATTTAGAAAATTCATGACAACAATCTATTCTTAATAATATTAACATAACTTATGTTTTATTATAATGCATGCTATATATTTATATATTCTGTATAAATAGTATATGTGTATGCATATGTACACATACATATTACTATATGTGTGTATATGCACATATGAATATATATATCCTAATATATGGGGTTCTGTGTATGTGTGTGTGTGTGTGTGCATGTATCTCCAACCCTGCATATATTCACCTCTTTCTCTATATTTGACTCGGTGTGTACGTGTGTGTGTGTGTGTAACTATATGCATCTATATTGGCTCTCTATCCTATTTTTATATATATATATGTATGCACATTATTTATGTTATATATAAAGATAATGACATCAATACTATCACTGACAAAAATGGTAGCTATTAATTACTTATATGCTAATTTACATTATCCATGTAAACTCTTTATGAATAGGATTTGTGCCTATTTTTACCACTATGTGCTACAGTTCTAACAGAGTGCCTAGTACATAGTAGGTGCTCAATAAATATTAATAGAAAAATTTTGTTCTTTGTAAATTCATTCAACTTATCAGTTTGGAACTCTTGTTATATTTTAGAATCAACTGGAAATCTTGTGTTTATTTATTTCGTCAGTATCCACCTTTGGGCCCCATTTCTGACAATTAATTCAGAATATCTGAGGTATGAGCTCAGGCAGTGTTACTTATAAACCTATCCAGGTGATTCAAATGTGTAGCTCGTGGATGAGAACCAGTGATTGAACCTCTCCTTGAGGCTGTGTTAAATTCCCCCTGAGGGCAACGGTTGGACCCAGGGAATGAAGGGGAGGCTGCCAGCCCTGGCAGTTGTGCTAGAGGATGACTTCTAGGCCAATGTGTCTCAACTTTCTGAGACTGAATCTCCTGCATGGCCATGCTGATGTAAACTCTAGTTGAGAGAAGAAAGAGAGAGCAACATCCTCTCTATACACACTCATGCTGTTCTTGGTCTCAGGCACCAGATTCTCTAGTGAGCAGGATAATTATAATAAACTGGAGGAGAGACAACTGCGCTCTGTCAGTATCTGTCCACTAGGGGACAAGCTGGCATATGATCAGACTCACTGCTTCCCCAGAAACTGCCCAGGTGCTACTAGTAATGACTTTTTGCTACTGTAGAGTTGGATGGGATTGGGACAAACTCTGGCCCTGGATGTCCCATCGGAAACACATACTAAAATCTTCCAAGCTGTGTTTCTTCCCAAACTGGCAAGTAGACCTCCATGCTCCGGTCCAGCTCTCTACCCTTCAGGGAGAAGTATCTTTTGAATGTGAAAGTCTTCCTCAATCTGCATACAATGTGTCAAGGCAGGCGTTACTGTTCCACTTTACAGAAAAAGAACTAAGGTCAAGTGCAGAGAGGTGACTGGAAGGTGATCACAGAGCTTGTAAGTAAATGCCGTAGGCAGCATTCGAACTCTGGATAATTTGTTTCCAAGTCTCCTTCTAATATATATTTTTTTAATGAAATAAGTTCCTTTTTTAAAAAAAAATTTATTTATTTGACAGACAGAGATCACAAGTAGGCAGAGAGGCAGGCAGAGAGAGAGGAGGGAGCAGGCTCCCCGCTAAGCAGAAAGTCTGATGCAGGGCTCGATCCCAGGACCCTGGGATCATGACCTGAACCGAAGGCAGAGGCTTTAACCCACTGAGCCACACCTCTAATATTATTTTTTTACATTTTTTTTATTGTGTTATGTTAGTCACCATAAAATACCTCATTAGTTTTTGATGTAGTGTTCCAAGATTCATCATTTATGTACAACACCCAGTGCTCCATGCAATACATACCCTCCTTAATACCCACTACCAGGCTCACCCATCCCCCAACCCCTCTCCTTGAAAACCCTCAGTTTGTTTCTCAGAGTCCACGGTCTCTTATGGTTCATCTACCCCTCCGATTTCCCCCAATTCACTTTTCCTTTCCTTCTCCTCATGTCCTCCATGTTATTCCTCATGTTCCACAAGTAAGTGAAATCATATGCTAATTAATTCTCTCTGCTTGACATATTTCACTCAGCATACTCTCCTCCAGTTCATCATAATTAGCCACCAGGGAAATTCAGATCAAAACCACATTGAGATGCCACCTTACACCAGTTAGAATGGCAAAGATTAACAAGGCAGGAAACAATAAACGTTGGAGAGGATGTGGAGAAACCCTCTTACACTGTTGGTGGGAATGCAAGTTGGTATAGCGCAGCCACTTTGGAAAACAGTGTGGAAATTCCTCAAAAAATTAAAAATAGACCTACCCTATGACCAGGCAATTGCACTAATATAGCCCTTTTAAACCTTTGTTAGTGAACCAATTAGCTCATGGGGTGATCAGGAGCTAAACCTATGTTTCGAATGACTTGGATTTGAATCAAAGCATCTCCCCTTTGTAATTGTGTGATTTTAAGCAAGTTATACAACTTTTCTGAGCCTCAGGAACCCTATCTGAAATTAAAAGGTACTACTACTTATCTTACAGTATCTTTCTGAAGAAAAAATACCTTAATATAGGTGAAATGCTTTATGAAATTCTTATTAGTACACAATTGTTATTAATACTTTCCTGCTGGGTCATTGATTATTTGTTCTTTTTTCCTTTAGAATAGCATTCTTGGGGAACCCGAGTGGCTCAGTGGATTGAGCCTCTATTTTCAGCTCATGTCATGATCTCAGGGTCCTGGGATCAAGCCCCACATTGGGCTCTCTGCTCAATAGGGAGCCTTCTTCTCTCTCTCTCTGCCCTTCTACTTGTGATCTCTCTCTGTCAAATAAATAAAATCTTAAAAAAAAATAGAATGGAATTCTGTTTTAAAATTTATTTACTTTTTTAATTTAAATTCAATTTAATTAACATGTAGTGTATTATCAGTTTTAGGGGTAGAATTTAGTGATTCAGCAGTTGCATATAACACCTTACATTACATGCCCTTCTTAATGTCCCTCATCCAGTTACCCCATCCACACCCACCTCCACTCCAGCAACCCTCGATTTGTTTTCTTAGTTAAGAGTCTCTTATAGCATTCTTAAACTCCTTCCTTCTTTTTTTAATTTTTAAAGATTATTTATTTATTTATTTGACAGAGCGAGAAAGAGAGAGAGATCACAAGTAGGCAGAGAGGGAAGCGGGGGGGGGGGAAGCAGGCTCCCGACCAAGCAGAGAGCCTGATGTGGGGCTCGATCCAAGGACCCTGAGATCATGACCGGAGCCGAAGGCAGAGGCTTAACTACCTGAGTCACCCAGGCGTCCCCTTAAACTCCTTTCTTAACAAGACCATATAACTTGCTAACTTAAATTACTGATCCCATTATAACAGAATACCTATAAAATATAGTACTAAAGAGATACCAAATATACAAACAAAAATTACAAATCATTCTTATGAATAATGAAAATTCAAAATTATAAATTAAAATGTCAACAAGTTAAAACAATAAAATTTGACAAGTTAAATCATTCTGCATATTATATCTATAACACAATCACCAATTATAACTTATTCCAGAAAGCAAATATGGGCCAATATTTGAAATTTTACTAATATGATGTGCCTCATATTATCAATGAGAAGATATAATTAGGAATAATTAACATGAACTCTAACAGATCAGAATACCTCTTGAAGTTGCATGTACATTTTTTCTCAACTTGAGAAAGAGTTTATAATGTTCTCTAGTGAGATAAAAACATATAAATATTATCAAGATGTTAATAATCTTTAAAAAGTAAAAAAATAAATTTTAATAATCTTTAAAAATTAAAAAATCAATTACATAGCGCTATATATATGTATATATATATTTAAATGAATATATATCATAAAAATTAACCAAATCTGACTAAAATATATCTATCTAGATACCCAACATTATGTTAAAGACATTTTGCCTTAGACATCAGTTAAGTGTTTCCTGCTATTACTTCCATCATACATGATAAAGATACACACCCAACATTTAACCACAGTTATCTCTAGCTGGTAAGCTTGCAAGTTATTTGCATTTTCTTACTTTTATTTAGTAGTACTACATATTTTTAAAATTAGTGACATTCATTTTATTGTAAAATTTGAAGTTATTGAAGGGACTATATCGGTAGATTTAACTCATGTTTATTATAAACATGCTTCAGTGATAATATATTTTGGTAGCTATTTATGTTAGATATATGAAATATAAAAAGAAAGCAATTAAAAAAAAACCTTAATTTCACCAAGGCCTCTCATAATAATCAAGAATAGTGTGGGTTGGGGAGATAGAATTGGCATAGTTTGATATCCATTATGCACAGGGAAACAGAGTTTAATTCCATCTTAACCCTCTCTTCCCGTTCTTCTTCTGAAAGTGCTCTTGGACATGATCCCAGTGAAGGAAACTGCTCTCTTTCTTCCATTTCCCCACATTGTGCTTATTCAGCACTTGCCTTTAGAGTTTCAGTCACCTTACTCACCAACTCTTCGGTTGAGTTGAGCTGGGCTGTGGGTACCCGTGAGGTCTGAGGAACTGGAAAAAGCCATTGGAGAGAGCAGGGATGCTAATGGGTCATCACAGTTGTCTATAAAGATAAGAAAGAAAGAAAGCAAATTCCATTAGCAAGATATAGCCCCTAAAGAGAGGAATGATGGCATTACCCATTATCATTTACTAACTACTGCTCTGAACAAGGCCAGTATGACCCATTTCCATGTGCTATTTCATTGACTCCTCACAGTCCTGAAAGACAGGTAAACATTTCTTTCATAGTTGGAGACATTGACTTTCAGAGATGTTAAGAAGTTTGTCCAAGGTCACAACACCAGAAAATGGTGTGGCCAGAAATCTCACTGATTTGTCTATCATCTGCTCCTTTAATCAACCACTTGAACAAAGCCTCAAGTTATGGCTATTGAGCTTATTTTAGAAGGAAGGAGACTACTGAAGGGAAGATAAAATTGTTTACTTGCTCTCACATCTTCAGTCCCTAAGGAGTCCTGCCATAGATGTATCTAGATGGATAGAATGATTTAGAATGTCTCACTCCCAGTTGTGCGAAATGTTTGGAAAATGAAAGACTAATTCTAATAATTCTTTCTATCCCACAAAGTGAAGGAGAAGAGCCCCCAATCTCGTACAATCTTGAATCTGATATTTACTTCAGAAGCAGCCCTTCCAGCCTACCCTAATGCGACAGATAGGCTTTCTAAATTTTCTTTGATGCTGTCCAAATGTGGAACAGGGTGGGGCCATGGGGAGATGTGATCTTGGCAACACAGACCTGCTCTTCCAGATTGACCATGCAATCTCATGCAGAGGACCCTGTTCTCCACAGAGCAAACTGGTCATACAAATGTTCTGTAATCATTTATTTGTTTGCATCTTACACTAAATGGCACACACTTTGTGGGACTTTAGCAAACAATCTGATACATAGTAAGCCTTCAATAAAGGTTTGTTGAAAGAAATGGATGGTCATGGGAGAAAGGAAAGAAGGAAGGGAGGGAGGGAGAAAGGACAGAATTAGTTCACACAACAGTACCAACCTGTTTTTCCTATTTTCCCATTCTGTACACAATTGGCTTTTCAGAACACTGCAAAATCATGCCATTGAATCTAGACATACTCATGCAAACATGACTTTATGTCATTTAATTTGAAGGCAAACTTTGTGTATTAAAGGTTCTCAAAAAAAGCGAGTCTTTTTTTTTTTTTAATGTACATTGGATAGGAGTGTTTGTTTATCTAGAAAATTCTTAGAGAGGACTATTTCATCTAACTCCAGGAAAATTAATGAGAAACATAAGGATTAAATTTTTGTTGGTTAAATGTGTTAAAAAAAAATCAACTGGCAAAGTGTATTTTGAGTTTTTCCCCAAACACAAATGTTTGAAAAATATTTTGAGGTACTTGACAAACACAAAACAGAGCCAGATCTTCACTAAGGAGGAATGACATAAAAATCACAGCAAGGACACCTCTGCAGTTATGGTCATTCTGCAAACAGAAAGCAGAACTCAGGGCTGCTTTATTCTAGGCATAAGATGCAGGTGCAGGGAGGTGCATACGCACTTCCAATATGTTAATTTGGAAACGCAGATTGGTTACACTATTTATATATTAGCAAACAATTTTGATGTGATGCAAATCTTACATTTGCCTATACCTATCTCATCATCAGAAAACATTAGGTAAATACAGGAAACTGAATTCAGTGGAACTGACCCCATGGAAATACAATACACCCGTACACATGCACACATCAAACACCACACAACATCATACTTCACAGCTATGCTATGAGCCACAACTGTCTGCAACTGTAGTTAAACCATCCTCCAATTTCAGGTAACAGTTCTCACACTACTTCTCAATAGCTAAGAACCCTCTGACACCCACTTCCACAAGCAAATTGAAGATTTTTTTAAAGTGCCATGTTTATACATTTATACATTTAAGTATTCCTTAAACATATAACATGTACAATGCCATGTTACCATTTTTATTGGGTCCTTAGGATTTTTCAATATGTTGCCAATGACATATTTGAGTTTTGTGCCCCTAACCCCATGTTTCCCTTAAAGTAGGAATAGAAGTGACTTAACCATTTCAATTTAATTCAGTCCAAAAAATATTTATAAGGACATACTTTATTCTTGAACTTGAACAAGCATTGGAGAGAGAGTTGAGTAAAATTGAATCTTAGACCTCACAGAGCTCAGAGACCATTGAGAAATAGAAAGAGTAGATAGATAGATAGATAGATAGATAGATAGATAGATAGATAAAACTGATGAGAACATTTAAGGGAATTTCACCAAGTTTACACCCAAGCCAGTAAAATGGGGACCCAACTATTTAGACATCCAGGCAAGTGATCTGCTCTGTCTCCTCCAGCCCTATGCAGTCTCCTCTTTCACAAATTGCTGGCCTCAGGGAGAGGTTAGCTTCCAAAGCTTCCTGGCCTTGTGACCCCAACTGCCATTTTCCCCAATGGCCATTTCCTCTTCTGAATTGTATCTTCCTTGTATCTCAGTTTGTGGGGTCAGTGTTTCCACTTGGAAGATTAGCAACCTTTATCATAAACAGTCTTTGCTAAAGGGAAGGTCCAGAGGAGATTGTTCAGGATTCCTCTCATCACGAACCTTGTGCATTGCAAGAGTGGCTTTTAGAGAACACGGCTGAAATTTTGTTCTATCCTTAAAAATGAAAATAATGGGAAAATTTCACATCAGAAAGGAAGAAAGACCTCTCCTCCACAGCCAGTACATAGCTCCGTTTGCCTTCTTTATGTCACCTAAATTGAGAATAGACCAGGCCTCTAATCAAATTAACCCTGGTCACTGGGAATTAAGAATTTGTCCATGTAGCCATTCTAATTCCAAAAGTGTGTATTATTTTTAGACATGTGTCCTATTCTTAAAGCAGAAGAGAAATGATCTAGCATACATGAGAACAGTTTATATATGTTTTAATTCATGATTTGGGGCAGTCGGGGATAGTGGAAATTATCAGGAAGGCTAGAGCTAAGAGTTCATCATTCTAGTTTGGTTTCTTCTCTTGCTTTGGTGACTCCAGTTAATGCATTCAAATATACTAAAGCAGCAACTTCTTTGTCTGCAAAATCAAGAGAGTCATCTCTGACATATCCAGCCAGAACACCATCTTAGAACAAACAGAATGAGAAGATATGGGAAAATATGGGAGAAACCCCCTTTAAAGGATAAAATATAGAATGAAACCAGGAAGCACTATATGAATTGTCTGTAATATTTGCAGTAATCAAAAACAACCATTTCAACAATTTTATTTCTAAGACATTGTAGATCACAATACCTGCTCAATAATTGATGTCACCAATAACTCTTTTGCACTAAACATTGACAAAGGGCCAGATGAGAAGGAGAATATGAAATGGACGGGAAAAGAGGGTGTAAAGAATCACCAGAGAGTGAGAACAACATTGCACAGGGCAGTCCTCCCTCTCTGTGAATCGGCAGCCTTGCAGAGCCTGGGCCAACATCACACCAAACACATGGATGGGAAGGAAAGAAACAAAGCACCATCTGCTCCACCATTCCTGCAGGCTTTAAATAAGCAAACCCGTGTTGTCATTACATTTTAGGCACCACTCACATCTCTGCTTTCTGACAATGTGTCTGCACACTGCTAAATCTATCAGTCAGTTCCTCCAAAAGTACGGTGGATGTTTATCTGTATTTACATGAGGAGAGAGGAGAGGGTGAATAAACCCAGGTGGGCAGAGAGATGTTTGAAGTTTGGGGAAAATATACCAAAGGACTAAAGTCAAACTTTCAAGAGAACACACAACCTGAGATAGACCTTCATAATTTTACTAGAATGTCATTTTTCACACTTAATGGATGCATTGGCATCGTAGAATATTTTCAAAACAAAACTCTGAAAAATCCCATGGGTGGGGCTTATCTTTAAAAGACTTTTTACAGGGGTGCCTGAGTGGCTCAGTTGTTTCAGTGTCAGACTCTTGGTTTTGGCTCAGGTTCTGATCTCTGGGTCCTGAGATCGAGCCCCGCATTGGGCTTCATGCTCAGTGACAAGGCTGCTTGATATTCTCTCTCCCTCTTCCCCTCCCACACTTGCTCAAGTGCTCTCTCTCAAATAAATAAGTAAATCTTTAAAAAAATTTTTTTTTGCAAAAAGGAGATAAAGTTATAAAGCTATTATTAAAAAATGTAAACCCTTACTCACATGTGATTTGTTAATTCTCCATTTTCCTCAGCAGATAATTTCATTTCCATCTTTACCTTTTTCCTTTATGACATTAAGACCACTTTCTACTCTATCCGATGCCCAAGCAGATAAAAATCCATGCTTACGTGTATGATGGAAAGTTACTCAGCTCTTTCCAATCAGTAACTGCTGAACAACACAATTCTCATCCATAAATGACTTAGCCCTACATTCATAGACTAAGAGGATACCAAAACCCAAGGAACCTATGAAGTGGTGAAATTCAAGCCCTTCACTTTACAAATGAGGACTTCAGGGTTTAGAGAGATGACAAGGCTGTTAAGGATTATTCAGTTCACTGATGGACTAACCTAGACAAAAGCTCAGGTTTCCTTACTCATAAATGGTGACTGCTAGCTCAAAGTTACCTGCTACATCTGCATAAGTCCAGCGATCATTATTATATTATGTTTTATAACATCTGTTTAACAAATAACTTTCTTTGTGCAAAAGGAAGGCCAGAGTTGCATCTTCTGGATAACAGAAAAAACAGTAAAGAGTAGCATAGGATTTTAAAAAGAATTTGAATATCTTCTCTATTTTTCTTGTCTTCTTAGTTCAACAACTTTAACATCAAGAAGAAAAGAAAACATAAAGGAAGGATGAAAAAAATAAGAACAGATAAATAAAAGTGATGTTTCCTTATGAATATTTGTGTGGATCCTCAAGTTAAGCATTTTGTTTGATATTTTCAGTCTGAAGAAGTGGGGATTATTTGTTCCTTAGTATATATGTACGGTTACATACTAAAGGTCTTCTATCACGTTAATTAAAAGGTAAAGGCAAACAAGAGACTTCTGAGTAAATATG